TGTCAATAATAATAATACAGTAAATCTTAAACTCTGTAAACAGAACAAATTATGATAATCAAATCTAAACTAACCATAATTATTCAAATATACACTGCAACATTACAAATTGGGAAGTTTTGACATTACATCAAGTCAACCTGACCTAAACCCTTCCCTAAACCCAACCAATAGTGTTATAAAAAGCAAACATAAGAAAAAATCTGCACTGCAACCACTTGTTCTACCTTGATTGTACATGCTTTTATCTACTGTGGAACTGTGCTTCACCAGACTCAACCCTGTGCTCAGCCTGCGGTGGTTTATTCTTGACTTATTCTGGTTTTTACCTTTGCAAAAATACCAAATCTGATTTTCTTTTCTTAATTTAACATGTCAGCTATTGTACCAGCTAATCACCATCTGACTCAATCTTGGTTTTTTGATGTATATGCAAGCATGTGTGCACAGTTTAATGCACAATGTTAAAGAGTATACTTCATTTGACTTGTACGAAAACACAGGCGACAACTTTCACCACTTATCTGAAGTCTGCATGTATTGATGGTCCACAGGAAGCTCAATGCTTACTTCGAAAGGAGATAAACCTGTGTATGGCATACTCACTGTAGTAGTCAATTAAAAATGAACAGGTCACCAGATAAATTTATTTATTTTTACATTTTGACAAGATATCTTACAAGATTAATGTTTATCTTAAACAATGTTAGAAAATTATATAATGTTAGAGCAGGGAAAAAGATACAAGCACAACAACCAAACTTGTCTTTGCATAGAAAAATTATTGAAAGCAAAGCATTTGGAAGGTAAAAGTATTTGTGTAAACTTACCTTGTATTAAAACATTAACAATATCATCATTCAAGACTCATTTGTACACAATGTGTAAGGAAAAGTAGTAGAGATCAGTAGTACAGGGTCAAGGACTGGTTTTAGTTACCAGTGAGTTACAAAACAAATCAGTGGTGCTTTCTCCCCCAACCCCCCTATATCTTAACTTGTTTACCATTTCAGGATGAGGCTGGAGGAGCTTATGAGCCGAGGTGCATGTGTGACACAATAGAAAGAACAGGGAGCGGGGGCTCACATTGTGAATGAGAGGTAGTGGAAGGGTGTGTGTGAGCATGAATCGGACCTCAAATGCCTGCTGCAACATAATCACCCTACCATCTTGCTTTTAAAAGGGCAACTAAAGGACAGGACAGAGAAAGTCGCTACTAGCTAATGTAATAAAATACATTCAAGGAGTTTAATTCAGAGTGCAATATGGATAAATGTGGTGCAAAATATTCATGAATTTTACTCAATAGCTGAAATAAAGCTGCAATTTTGATGCAGACATACTGAAATAGTCATTTCTTGTAAAACAATGTCTAATATTTGTTTTACAATTTCAAAAAAACATTTTTGATTGGAAACTTTGCATATGTTTACTCTTTTGCACTTTGTTGCTTGCAATGTTTGCAGATATTAAACCGTGTTGACACACACAAACTTCCTCACATTTCTCTACTGGTGTCAGTATGTGTTCAATGTGTGTTATCTCTCTGAATCCCCTAACCCCACCCCTCACGTGTAACGACTCAGTGCTCATTCTCATACTTAAGTCAATCTGTTAAATAGCTGTGGAGGCAAACAGCTCAAGTTGAGCAACTCGACCGAGAGAGAGAGAAGTGAAAGAATACGGGTTTGAGAAACGGCAAAGACTGTGATTAGACCTCATTAGGTCTAAAAGGCTCAGAGCCTCACGGCTGAATGCAGTTCTCTGTGTGTGTTGATATGTGGATGTTTGTGTGAACGCTCACTTCCCTTCCCCCCTTAAACTTAGCTCTGTACCGTGTTTTTCAGGCCTACCTGGAAATAGGCATGTTTAGACATGTTTGGGTCATGGTTGTTTTTCGGGTTCTTTCCATTTTTGTTATTTTTCTTTATATGTGACCTATTTTTAGCATTGAGGTCCAAAAATACGATACTGTTCAAATGTTTGTGGATGGGTTTTATTCCTGTTAATGAGACTTTTGTGTTTACACTCTAACTGGATGGATGGATGGATAAATGACACAGAGTCTTTATATTTTTCGATGAAAGAAATGCGGATGTAGATTGTAACTTATTTTATTTCGCTTTAATATTTGAGGTCACACTGAATAGGCTGTAATTATTTAAATTAGTGCAACACTTATTTTGAGACTTTTGAAAACATTATGGGTGTCAAAATTATTTGTTTTTTTGGTGCACTGCGATGCAGATGGGTACAGTTTGATATCGGTTCCGTAATAGATCATAACCGGTTATTACATACTGACGTCATTTATCTCCGATGCACGATGTCGCAGTAGAATACTATGGCAAAGGAGGCAAGGGTGAGTAAATAAAACGCCCCTACTACTTAAAAGGGAGATAATTATGTACAGTTCAACTGCTTGTGAGTTTGCTGGAAAGTCTTTCATTGACACTGAAGAAGGTACAGCACGAGCCGCTATTTCACCACTCGGGAGAAATGCTGTAAAAATCTATTTCTGGATTTGAACCAAATCGATGACATAATAATCGTAACCAAACCGTGAGACCAGTGTAGGTTCACACCCCTATAAAACATTCAAATTTTACAAAACCATCCTGTAAATAAAACATTATTCGTATCCTTTATTAAATGTAAAACATTTTGATACAATACCAAATTAAAACCGTAAAATCTTAACCATTAGCCTCATTAAAGTATTTGGCAGGCATTTTTTATTCTGTTATGATATTGGGAATTACAGCTTTGACCCTGAAATCTGCGTATGCAGAAATCTACAAATTTCTGCAGATTTTTAGCCCACCGAGTCTATGTATTTACTAGTGTAAAAGTGTGTAAATTTATATTTATTCTGTTTTTAAATTTATTCACTAATATTATTGTGATTTAATAATAGTAATATTAAAATGTTTATATGATTTATTTACAATGCAGTTTGTAAAGTAATAATTTTGACTTTTAGATACTACTAAAAGAGACTTGCTTTGTTTACCAAATAAGTAGATCTTGATGGATTTGCATTGTAAACATTAAATAAAAGATATATTAAGTTATCAGTTACAATACTCCTAAAATCATTCAGCAAAAATTCCCAATTTCTTTTATAAAATTCTCCACAAAACTAGCAAAAAAATGTCAGCAGGTTCTGTCTGGCCCAATTCTTCTAGGCATGGGACGATAACGCTAATGTTTTCAAGGTATACCGCAGTTTGGAAAAATCTAAGTTTTAAAACTGCCAAAATTTCTGATATACCGTTCCTACAGTATATGTAAGATTTTTTATTTACTTTTTTTTTTTCTTTCAGGACAACAGTATCTCCAGCAGAAAAGATCTCCAAAGATGCCATTTTAAATTTTAAAGAAATCTGTGTTGCTGAAACTACTGAAGACAGCAGAATATTATAATTGTTTATTAAAATAAAATATCTGGTGTTCAAACTGGACAAAAGTTTTAGTTTTACTCAGACATTTAAAAATAACTTATTTTAGAGCAGTAATCAGAATACCGGGATATTTTTATCTAAGTTTATCATACCGTCAGAATCTGATACCAGCCCAGGCCTAGACCCTTCACACGTGCACTGATTTTAGGTTTAGTACAAACTGTTTGTTTCTGTGTGTCTGTGTGTGTAGGTTGTGCTCCGCTGGTGTAGAAGAGGTGCTGTGGTTAAGAGACTCTTCTTTTGGTAGAACTGCGTGTACTTTTTTAATAAAACAGGAAGTTTGTATAAGCGTCTGAGAGGGTTAGGGGTGACTGAATCGTTTGTTCCTTTGTCTAAGATGCATGAGCAAGCTCTTCGTAACTTTTTCAGTTCTATCTGGATTGGTTTGAATGCGTTTACAACACAGATATTTGTTTCTTTTTAGCCTCAGAAGAAGTCTTACCATTTATTCATACTTATTTTAAACCCATATTGCTTAATGAATATAAAACATAAACAAGAAATATCATGTCACTATCTACTAATGTTTTAGGTCAAAGCTGCAGTAATAGAGATCAGAGATGGTAATGGTCAGACTGAGGCCTAAATGTGGCTCTGTTCAGCAGATACAAGCAAGAAGTGCCTACCCTCAACAGGAAGAGCAAACAAGTGTTATGGCTCTCACAGGAAGTAATGCTGCGAATCAGAGGTTGTCTTTACCTTGAGGGAAATTCCCCTGCACCCTGATATATTCACACACTTACATCTAGAGCAATTAGAGTCACATATAACATGGACAATAATAGAAATATCTCACACTTAAACTCACATGCACAGTTTTCTCACATTTCTAAACGCTTAAATGCTGCAGTCTGTGCACATATATACATATCACTCAACCATCTGTGGTCTGACTTTAATTCAGCTAGCATTCTTGTTGCATACAAACTGGCACAGTGATAAACAAGTTTTTTTTTTCACTTGAACTTTTGACATGCTTTAGAGATGTTATCGCAAAGATTGAGCACAAACCACAAAGATGAGCAACTGAAGCCTTGTAACAAAATGTGATGAAGTTATTTTGAACATTCCATCTCAACAATTGTTGTTACGTATCTTAATTTTTACCTTTTTTTATTTCACAAGACAAAAAAAAAACATTCTACACAGCAAATTTCGAAGTGTTATTTTCACTCTCAAAGTGTGAAAATTAACACTTCTTCAGTGTTTATATAGGTCCACACTAAATCGAGTTAAATTTACACTTGAAAAAGAGTAACTTTTTTTACACTTGCATAGTGTTAAAAAAAAGCACTGTTAGTGTTAATTTAACACGGCGTTTTAAACTCCCCTTCCATATTTGCACGGAATTAATGTGTTAAAACTACACTCTCAGTGTTAATAGCTTAACACTAACAGTGCCCTTTTTAACAGAAATAAGGTTCATTGTAGTGTTCATATAGACTTAGGTTTTTATTTAAATGTATTTTAGCCATATAAATTGTTTTCTGCATAACAGGAGAGTGCATTGATCATTTAAAAAAAGTCAAAACAATGTACAAGTTGAATTTTTTTTATTTTTAACAATGCATCTTAAATGTAAGTTAAACCAACATAAACAAAGGTACAACATATTCACTATTATCTGATCCATATGAACTCTGCAGATCAAATGGCCTGTAGAACTTCAATTCACTTGCTTTTATAAGTTCACCCAACTCACAGTATCTCTGTACTTTAAATGCATGATGATGCTCTGAGAAATGTTCTGTCAAAAGCTTGTCAGCAATGAAATATACGGTGTTGTTAACTAAAAGTATTTTCCGAATCTGACTAAATACAGGAATTTCATTCTCAATTTCATTGCATATAAGGAGGTCCAGCCTATATTCAGTCCCATCAATCTTAACCCAGTTCATGGAACACATGCTTGTTTCTATGGGGTTTTGCATCATTCTAGCCAACTTCTCACCTTCATCAATTTCATCCCAACAGAATTTTTTCATTGGGCCACACTCAACTTGGTTTAAAGGAGTTGTTTCCCAAAGATAGCCAATTGACATCTGATGATTTTTTGCGAGAGATTTTGTAACATTTTTGAAATTTTTTAACATATTTTTAAAAACTTTGTGTTTTGCCTCAAACCTCATACTCCACATGTGCACTAACGGACCAATTTTTCGAATGCAGGCAGGGTAATGCGTCATAAAATGATGTTTGGGCAGCAAGTTTTTGTGTGGGTACAACTCTTTGAATAATTCATGGTGTTCAGATATCAAATATTTTAAAAGAACAGTCATGCCTTCTGAAATGCTAGGGGAAAACACTAGATTTAAAATCTGAAGTAAGAGCAAAAGTAAAAGCCAATTCTTGTCTCCAATAGGGACAACATCACCAAATAGTAATGGAATGTTTTTGATGAGACAAAGAGCCTGGATAGAATTAAGTCCGATGCTATTTCCGCTGTGCTCCAAGTTCACTTTTGTAGGACGATTTTTTCTCTCCAAATATCCATAGTCAAATGAATATATCCTAGACAGCAATTCACTTTGGGTTACAAATTTTTCAGACAGATTCTCAAACAGCAGTTTCATTTCAAATTGTGCAACTCCTTCAAGGAGATCATGCATCACATCAACAGAATAGTTGTGGCACACATGAAAATACCGTAAACTATTCAGTGTTGAGCTCCTTTTGATGCCATGTGTTGACTTGAGTTGAGGGTCAGATTCCAACTCTCTGCAGTGCTGTTCATAAACAGCACGATCACGCAAAACAACCCTATGATCATCCTCACTGTAAACAAACTGCACATCATCTTTTTTAGTCAAACATAAACGACAAAAGTAGTGGCCACTAAAAGATTCTGTAAAACCAAGGATTGAGTGCATCCCCAAGTTGTCTCCAGTGACTTGACATATTGTGCCATAAACTCTTCTTGTGAACATTGGCAATTCAATACCATCTGTCTCTAGTATCTTTATGTCTCGAATCAGTGGTTCCAGGATTGGATCAAACCCATACCTTTTCAGGTCTTGTGCATGAAACAGCGCTATCAAATGTATATTCATGAGTCTTGAATTCAATTTTGGGGGCAAATTTCTCACTACAAAATAAAGAGCACCAACTTTGTGTACACCACGTTTAGAGCCTAGAGGGTTTGCGGTTTCAAATTCGTCAAAGTACACCTGGATCTGTAAGGCATTTGGATATTTAGAGAACAATGGATGATTATGGAAGTAACTTCCATCACAAAAGTCTTCAAAATGTGATGTCTGTCTTCCTGTAAATTCCTTTAGCAGTTTACATACATCTGCATTTTGACACATGAATTTCATCGTTTCCAAAATTGGGACATAAACATATGTGTCTTTTACTGGGACCTGATCATAACATCCTGTTGTTTTGTTTCTCCTATTGTCATATCTCATGCCAAGCATAATTTCTACAGGATCTACAACACCCCATTTGTCAGTGAAATAACTAGCTCTTTTAGTTTCCGTGTTAAACAGGGTAAAGGGGTTTTCAAAGTTATCCATACTATTTTCGACTGCTGATCTGTCAGGGTTATTAAGAGGAATTACAGACATTACATCTTGACGAGTTTGGTTATGTAGTTCTGTGGTGAGTTCCTCAAGCTCTGAAACAACCGATGCTACCAAGCTATTGGCTACTCCGCTGCACTGTAGTTTGGCCACAATAGATGCACATATATCTGCCGTCTCTCTCCTTGAAACAGTGAAATTATTCTCAACAGTCTCAATGAGATCAACTTGGGGATCACTCTCTCCAACAAACAAAGAACTTGATTGATCGGGACAAACATTTTGTGCTAACATTTCACTGGAAGGTGAATTACATGCTGCACTAACATCAGTAACATGAGTGCTGTTCAAATGCTTTCGAAAACCAGAGTATGTACAGAACTGTCGACAACAGCCTTCCTGTGCACATAACAACTTAAACTTCAGTGAAGGATAAAAACTGTGTGAGAGTCTTAAATGAGAAATTAAAGAGGTGCTGCTTGCATGCAAGCTTTGGCAACAAAAACACTTTAACATTTAGTTTAAAATCTTTGCACGCAGTTCTTTTACCCTGGGTGACTCACTGGTAAGTCCAACATCAATGTTGTAGACTGTAGTCTGCAAAAAGGTGAAGATGTTGACAAGTGCTTCCTCATACGTCAAGTTGAACACGTAGTGGATTTTAAAGAGTTCATCAACGGCACTCAAGGAGCTGGTTCCTGCACAAGGAATGAGATGTTTGTCCATAACCACATAGAAATTGTCGATCCTCCCCTTGATCCTTCCTGTTCCAAGTAGATATGGCTGGTGGCCTTCCCTCTTACTGAGATGGCCTTCAATACTGGTGCAAGACTGCATTAAAACAAAAAACAACAATAAATGCAGGAAACCAGTTAGGATATTTTCATTCAACTTTTGTTAATAAAAAAACACACTAAATATAAAACCAAACCACAAAAAAAAACTTCACCCAAAGTGCAAAAATAAAAAAAGTCTCCATATCCCTCATTGTGTAGTAGTGTGAAACGAAATTAGTTATTTTTTACCACAAAGAATTAAAAAAAGATTTGAATACACCAAGTCAATCCAAGATATAACTTACTTTCTTTATCACAATCTAAACGAAGAATTGTGTAAAAATCCAAGTGCTGCAAGTTAACAGCATTTAAGTGAATGCACACATTTTTATAAGTTTAAAAAAATGTGTGACATTATGGTTAACAAAACTAAAAATAACAATTAAAAGACTTAAAGTCTTGTGAATTTTACCTTATGGAAATGCACAAGTCTTTCAACGGCCTCTGTTGGACTAATCTTAGTCCTCTTTCTCCCTGAAGAAGGAGGTAGGAGATGCAACAGGAGTAGGACAGCTGACATATCACTATCCCAATCTGAATTAATGATAGTAAAACAAATAAGACATTAATATTACAATACAACATGCACACATATGTTCTTAAGGCCCCCAAATACAAAAAAAAAAAAAAAAACTAAAGCAAATTTAAACTACAAAATCCTCAAATTGTACCATTTTCAGATCCTTGTCCCTCTGCTGAATTGATAAGACCACGAATTTCTGCAGTTGAAGTTAGAGATTTGGCCTCATTGATGATCTTGTGCTTAAATGAGGTCTCCCATCTCTCAAGCAACTTGTTGGATGTTTCAGCATTGAACAGCAAACCAAAGTCTTGATTTATCTATAGAAGAAGATATTAGATTAGAAGCTGACTCGTCACACTTTAGATTCTAACACCAAAGATTTTTTTGTTGCTTGATAAACTTATAAGTCATGATCATGCACAAATGTAAATGTTTTTGACGTAGTTCTGAAAACTACTACAATGATGTTTAAGGGGTAAGTGTTAGCATGTATCAAATCTGTGACTAAGGCCAAATAGCAATAATGTGCAGAATTAATTATTTACACTTGATAAAAATATATATATAAACACTCATTAACACACAAACACATTTAAAACCAAAAAATAATTCATATTTACCAATCCTTTCACATCCAAAAATCTTGGAAAGATGTTGAGGATGTCAGCTGATTTTTTAGGATCATGCACCAGTTCTTGTCTACGCTTAAAGGTTTCCTTCATTTTTAGCAAAACTTCACTTTCATCAGCTGTGTGGACAAGAAAAGAAATTGCCTCCCTGCATGCATCCCCTTCAAGTTGTTGCCCAGTGTCTATCCTTCGTTTGAGACTTGGTCCTCCAACTTCAGATACCTCCAAGCGAACACGTTTTGGGTTCTTCCTTGATAAAGTTTTAAGGCGCCAGGCAATGAAACCTGTTCCCTTTTCCGGATCGTAGAAATGTTCCTGTAAGAGACAAGAAAAAACATTTAAGATGTGTATAATCTTAATATATAATACAACATTTAACTGTATGACATAAAACACTAAATAAAAAAAGCCACAAACCTTTAAATAATTAAAACAGACGAACATGTTTGTGTTAAGTATACTAAGACAAATTCTTACATAGCCTTTTGCTGAAAACGGGTCTCTCAGGCTGGGAAAGAGAGAAATAATACCCAAGGCATAAGTCTCCCGTTGCTTGCGGGTGGGAATTCTCCTAAAAATCAGTAAAATACTTGATTAAGGACAGTACTTAACCTGCTAAAACAATGTTTTAATGAAATCTTACCCATGAATCTCTGTCATGTGACTGACAACAATATTAACCAGTTGCCGTCTAGTGCTGTGCTTTAAAGTTTTTGTGGCCTTGTATTCATCAAGCACTTCATCACCACCAGATTGCTTTTCCAAAGCATCTTGGACAATCTGATAAAGTGACCACAAAATGTAATATTTGTGAAATAATAAAAGTGAATTTTTATATCACCAAATTAACTATAACAAACAACATATGCATATACCCGTTTTGCCCTTTCAGCATCTACCATCAAGCACCTGCTGGCCCTTGTCATTTGATTCTGCATTGGTTGCTCTGGATCATCATGATCCGTAGAAGAGAGTGAAACTGTATCAGTACATGTGCTGGCTGTTGATGATCTTGTGGGTGAAATCACTGAAAAAAAATTATAAATTACCCTTTACAGTATATTTCTTTTATATTTCCTTAAATCAATATACCTTTTATTTCTATGTTATTAAACAGCGCTTTACAAATAGCCTTTACTGTACAATCATTCAAAATGTTTTCTTCCTTTTTAGACAGACTATTTTGACCAACTTTTCATCACTCGGCATAATGTGAACTCACTGTTAGGTTCAAATATTAAACCAGACAAATGCGTGACAATATTCAAGAAATATATAAAAACCCTTAATTTCTGTACACAATTCACTGTACAGTAGGCTCTTCTATGGGTTTTACAGTTCTCTTTTAAGTCTTTCTACTTAATTTTCCCTGTTCTAAACTATAATATTGCAAAATAGAGGGCTTTAAAGAATGTCCATAATTTAATTGAATATTTACCCTCAGGCAGGCCAGCAGACATATTTTCTTCCAAGCATCTTACAGTTAAGCATACATGTGGACTGCTTTCCATTAACTCGTGGAAGATGTCCTCTTCTACATTAGTGTCCGTGTCATCAAAAACTTGAAGATCTGCAGTTGTTGGTAATCCAAATTTGCTTTTCACTGAAATAAATAAATAAACTATAGACTCAAAACTTTAATAAGCACATTTCTGAACTGCACAATTTTAAACTTACCTTCACTGATAAAATATTGGAATGTAAAATCAGTAAGCAATTTTACATATTTTTTCACTCCTTGATATTGAACTTTCACCAACATGATGGAAGCTGTATAAAATACATATATCACTTAATTAATCAAGAGAACCCATCTCACAAACTAGACATTAGTAAAATTAAATCACTTTTATTTCAATGTGATATAGAAGCTGGTGTTATTATAATTAGTACATAGAGAACACATAAGTTTTTTAATCACATTAAATTTTTTGATTGATTTTTGTTTTATTTTTTGTATTGAGGGTTTTGAATACAATGTATAGTTAGACATTATAGTTAGCAAAGTAGTAGTATAGAAGAATTATAAGTTACGTCTACAAAAGCACATTGATTAAAAACACGAGAATAACAATGTTAAGTCTAACTTTAAGGAGTTCTTACAGTTCTACTTACAAATGTCAGGTCTTCATACAATGTAATATTATATTGAACAGCATCACTTTTGCATATTTATACTATGCGACTACCTTAAAATCGAAAACCGGTGTCTCTCGTTCGTCTCTTCTGAGTTTAGCTGCTTCGATCGTTCTCACTGGAGCTTAGCTTCCTCTTATGGCGAAGATATCACTATTCGACTCGTGCTCATCATTATCAGTCCTTTACACAACAGTTCTGTCAGTGTATTGTTACAGTGACTGAATAAATCGAAATACTGTTTTACCTTCAACCAGACGGCGTGTCAGACAGGTTTTAAAGTAAGCAATTTGTGGATTTGTGTTTACTTGAAAAAGCGAGCCGTTCAAATGATTCAGTTTGGTTAAGTGAACTGAATCGACCGGTTGAAAAGACTCATTTATGCATCATCGGCTATCCCCTCTTGCTAACAATCGAGACTAACTCTTTTACAGCGACTGTATTTTTGCGTACAAATCGAAATACAATTTTACTTTGAATCAGACAGAGTCTCAGACAGGTTATAAAGAGAGCGATTTGTGGATAAGTTTTCAATGTTACCGAATAAGCGAGCCGTTTTAAATGATTCCGTTCGATTAATTGAACTGATTCGATCGGTTCACTAATATGAGCCGGTTTAAAAGATTCATTTGTAATCCGGCTACCCCTCTTGCTAACAATAACCTCTGTTTTTACAGCGAGTCTATTTTTACATGTTTTAAATGTAATATGAAAATCAGATCTGTTCACTTGAAACGTATATTCGCTGTTTCATGTAAAAGAACAAAAGAAAGCGAGTGCATGCTGCCCGCGACTCCATGCGGCTCGCGCCACAAATCACTGAACATGAATAATTTAGTTCATTAACTTGTTACACCGAAGCTATGAAGTTCAACTAAGCCTTCTCAGACGCCGCTTTACAGCTATTTTTTTATAAAGTTAAATTCTAAACTACATAGGTTTGTAGAATGTAAGATTAACGGTGCTAACGTTAAATGCTCATCTGGCCATTCTGCGTTCATTTCTAGCGCACGTAGGCTAGCCACAACAAAGGGAAACACGATGACAGTTAAATTATCAGGTTAAATTAAGTATAACCGCAAATTTCTAACAACGCAAAACCCCGAATCAAATGCAAACACTGGTTCAAACTGTTAAATGTTTGTCTTTACCTTTATTTTCCTGCTAACCAACTTGTCTCGTGGCTCCCGTGATTGTCTGTCGTGTAAAAATTGACAAGTGGTTAAAATTAGAACTTGAAAACCCGGTTAAAAATGTACAATAGCTAGTTAAACATGAAGCAAGTGTAGAATTGTATTGAATATTTGTGATTAAATAAATTGTATACCTGTTTGAAAACTGCTCTCCATGTGCTGTCCGCCATTAATCAAAAAGGAAGTAAAGTGAAGCGACCGGAAATGAAAATAGCACTTATCTAGTGTCAATTATATCAACTCGCTGTAATAACACATACTCTGACCACAGAGTTACACTGCAGGTGTTTATGCCATGTAAATCAACTCAACAAGTAACACTTTTTAACTCAAAAAATTTAACACCTTAAAAACAACTCAAAACAACACTGGAAATTTTGCTGTGAGACAGTCCAGGATTTCACATTCAGCTCACAATTCTGCATATACACTACCTTTCAAAAATGTTGTATCATGTAAATTAATATAAATTATAAAATTATTACTTTTGTTCATCAATATGCACAAGTTAAACTGACATGTATGTGTGACTTGTATGATGGTTTCCACAAAAAAGGTTGTCATTCACTCAAAAAATACTTCTGCTCCATTCAACACAATTCTTGAGTTTTTTTGGGTGACCACTAAATTGCTTTATGTTCAATCCACTTAAATTAAACAAATAAAATTAAAAAACAATTACGTTTTAACAATCTGTTTGTGTTGGGAAAACATGAAGAGAGTTTTGTGTTATCCAGCATTTACAGTGTTATTTAAGCATCTTAATGTCATTCTAAAGCCAAATTATATTTGGTCATCTTCAAAACGCAGATGAAGTTATTTTATTAAATCTGAGGGATCTCTGTTCCTCTACTGAAAGTCTGTTGACATTTGCAAATATTTATAAACCAACAAAAACTTAATCCTAGTATTCCCAAGACACACAGTCCCTTTATTTAAAATGAATGTTACTTTAAATTCACAATGAAGGCAGCGAGAGCATCAAAAATCGCTCTAGCTGCCCTGTGGACATGGACCGGTATAAGATTATGACAGTATGATAACCTTGGACGAAAATATTACGGTTTCATGGTTTTGTGATTACTGCTCTAAAATATGTTCTTTTTAAATGTCTGGGTAAAAAAACAAAAACTTTTTTCCCATTTGAACACAATATATTTTATTTTGAGATTTCAAATATTTTCATTTAAAATATTTTGGAGCAGTAAACATATATCAGTCTTAATAATTCAAATGAATCATTGACTTCTGCTGTCTTCAATAGTTTTAAAAACACAGATTTCTCTACAATTAAAATTGGCGTCTTTGGAGATCAAGTTGTTGTGTGTGGTGTGGTTTTGTCCAGTTATCAAATATGCTTCCATATGTCTGAAATACTCTGAAGCAGCAATACTGTTTTGTATTGTTTTTTTGTTAACGTAAGATTTCTGCTTTTTTTTTAAAGAAACAAATATAACATTAATGCACATCAACTTGCCAGTAAGGTTTTTAATGTATGTCCCTGTAAGAAAACATCGTAAATAATTGGAAATTCGGCAACCACAATAATCAAACTCTTGGGAACAACTGTGGTTGGAACCAAAGTTTACAGGACTATATTTCTCTAGACTCTTCTCAAGCGGTGGACTTCAAAATTCCGATTGTTTGCCGCCTTCCCCTGTCATAGCTCATTACCTTAAATCTGACTTGGTTTAATCTCTCCTAGATGGTGAAGAGGTGCTGTGCAGCTTATTGCTGCCGGCTCCCATTGTAAATGAAAGACTTTCAGCCAATCACACTAAACGCACTTTTACGTTCCAAAAAATGTGAGGTGAACCACACTGCCTTTTTTTTTTGACTAGAAAGAAAGAAGTGCGGTGCACTTTTTGTATCGCAAGGCAACGACTGAATCAGCTGCGTATTGTGTGAGAGTGTTGCGGTTGATATGAATATAATTTTAATATTTAATAATATCGTGATTTTTAAGATTGGTCAGTCATACAGCTTCAGATACTCAAAACAGCAACCACAAGTCACTGCTCCAAGTCTAGATCAGATACATGGCTGGCCGGAAGTGCGATATGCACATCAATATAGCAGCATTTTTTTATAACACTTTATAACAATAATTAATATTTTTTACAGTACTTTGAGGGTTGGGGTTGGGGTAGGCATAAAAAATACAATTTATTGGGTAATTTAATAGATAGCATAAATAATACTCAGTACAACAACTGTTTTAGTGTTACTGTGACGGTTGGGTTTAGGGTTGGAGTAGGGATAGACGTTAATAAAGTACAATAAATGGGAAAATTAATAAATAATATATAAATAATAAATAATTCTCATTAACTTCCAGTTGCAACCATATCTGAAAACAAAAACACAGGACGCAGCAGGTGTTTAAAACGCGAGTGCACAAAGCAGCGCACACAACGCTCTCAGCCGTTAGTAAATCATTCAAAAAAGGCGCCTCTCAATACTTTCGGTATGATCGGCCCCTTAGGCTTTAGTTTGCTAATAAACTTTGAGGAACACGTATGAGTTGACTCTTGCATTTTCCAAGATTGTCGGCTGATTTTTGAAATTTATAAAAAAAAGTATTAAAAAAAGGCCATAAAGTTGCTTTGTTTTTGAAAAAAATAAACTGTTTAGAATTTACTACTGGTTGATTATTGCATCTCCTAATGATTTTAAATTGCAACAATTTTCACAGTATATTGCCATTCCTATTTTTATGTATTTTTGATCAAATAAATGCAGCCTTAGTGGTGGCAAAGTGGCTGGTCCAAATCCCGGCTGCGTCAGTTGGCATTTCACTGTGGAATTTGCATATTCTTCTGTGTTGGCGTGGGTTTCCTCCAGGTGCCCCGTTTTCCCCCACAGTCCAAAGACAAGTGCCAAGTGAATTGAATAAACTAAATTGGCCATAGTGAATGTGAGAGTGCATGGGTGTTTCCCAGTACTGGATTGTGGCTAGAGGGGCATCGTGCGAAAAACATATGCTGGAATAGTTGGTGGTTAATTCTACTGATAATAATATAGTAAGCCGAAGGAAAATGAATGAATGAATGAATGCAGGCTTAATTAGCGCAAGAGACTTAAACCTATACGAAAAAAAATGATCTGAATAAATATGAGAACTGACTGAAATGCATGTATATTTAAACTCTGTATGATTTCAAACAGCTTTTTCGACATTTTATCAGTGCGCGACAGCTCATCCACCTCCTCTATGCAGAACATAGATATACAGACAGTGACAGAGGAATCATTGTTACTGAGGGTAGCTGGCTCTGGTCTTTCCTGTCAAAACACACAAATGCTGAGGCAGCAGAGATACAGGCTGAGAGCTGTGTGTGAACGTGTTTGCATGCGAGGGAAAGTGACTCTGTGTGAGAGAGTGAGAGGTCCAGCAGGATAAAAGGAAGAGATCATCCCATACCCTGTGCCCCGTAAACTTCAGAGCTTCCTGTTCCCCAACACACACACTTTAACATACGTTCTCACGCCCTTTGTTACATCACCGCTTGTGATAAACCAAAACTTTCCATCCCACAGTAGTCTTTGATTTCTGTTTCGGAAACCATGATTAATGTAGGATATCGTGAAGTATTTAGTGCAATTGTGGTTTTGGTTTGTATTTTTGTGGGAGTCGGAGTGAGACAGAAAAGAATAGAATAGTCTTAAGTTTTTAAATTATGATACTTCACTGACAGTCACTTTCATAAAGTGTTTATCGTCTAGGTTGCACACCTGACCCTCACTTTTGGCCTTTTGTGTGATGAGACAGTGCGTGACGCCCACAGAGAAGTTATTTTTTGAGCTCTGACATCAAAGTGTGACATTCTGCATCCTGTTGTTTGCATAAGCTTCCATTTTTTTCTGAAAGAAACTATCTTGCATTTTTGAAGTAGTTGCTCTTTTTGTTTTTTTTTTACTTGGCATATTCAAATTATGTTTTAATTAAATGGTATAATTTGCCCAAAAATGAAATATGTCATTATTTAGTCACCTTACTTGTTTAAAGCCTATTTGAGTTCTTTTCTTCTGTCAAACACAATTTAAAGTTTTTTGAAGCTCGCTGGGGGGTGACGCAGTGGCGCAGTAGGTAGTGCTGTTGCCTCACAGCAAGAAGGTCGCTGGAACCTCGGCTCAGTTGCCGTTTCTGTGTGGAGTTTGCATGTTCCCCGTGTGTTCGCGTGGGTTTCCTCCGGGTGCTCCGGTTTCCCCCACAGTCCAAAGACATGCGGTACAGGTGAATTGGATAGGCTAAATTGTCCGTAGTGTATGAGTGTATGTGTGTGTGTATGTTTCCCAGAGATGGGTTGTGGCTGGAAGGGTAAAAACGTGCTGGATAAGTTGGCGGTTCATTCCGCTGTGGTGACCCTGGATTAATAAAGGGACTAAGCCGACAAGATAATGAATGAATGAATGAAGCTGGTTTATGTCACCCATTGTCTTCTATTATATTTTTTCCTACTACGGAAGTCATTTGGGGTGCCAACTTGGTGGCTCAGTGGTTAGCATTGGCATCTCACAGCAAAAAGGTCGCTGGTTTGAGTCCTGGCTGGGTCAGAACGCATTTATGTGTGAAGTTTGCATGTTCTCCCATGTGTTTGCGTGGGTTTTGTCTGGGTGCTCCGGTTTCCCCCACAGCCCCAAGATATCTGATAATAGGTGAACTGAAAA